TTGTGAAACAAGTCTTGGTGTCTTAAGATGAAGTTCAAGATTTTGGCGAACTTCGTCTTTTAAGCATTTTAAAACTTGTTTTAAACGAGTCTCAATGTCTTGAGATGAGGTTCGGTAATTCAGCGAACTTCGTCAGCTTGAAGTTTTGAAATGAGGTTCAACATTTAATTAAGTCCCGCTACTCAAGCTTATCTCATTTAAGTCTCATTACTCGAGCTTCATTAAATTTGTGAATTTCGTCTCTCTGGTTCTGTTGATCTGCATGGAACTCTTACATCACTTCGTCAGCATTAAGTACTTATCACTTAATGTGTCTCTTTGGGCCAAACACCCTTTGACCATCTGGCACTTGGGGATTTGATCAGTAGATTGTGGTCGCTGAGCTCAACCCTCTACCTATATATAGACGACTGCTTCATGAGAAGACTTATCATCTTCTTCCTTGAGCTTTAAGTCGAAATGACTTAGAAAAACTCTCGTTTTCCAATCTTCTTCTTCCTTTCTCTTTAAAGCTTTAAGCTTTTTAGATCTCGACGACTACCGTCAGTGAGGTTAGAGAAGAAAATCATAGATTCTTTGGTCAACACTGTCACTTCATCCATCATCTCAGGTAAGATTCTTATTTGATCGAACTTTGGTCACACGAGCGCAAAGCTTGTTCTTATAACATTTGAATCTCCGATTACTGGACGGTTGCTTTATCATTTATGGCTTGGTTTCTTTCGGGGGGACGAATAGTCATTCCTTTAATTGCTCAGTGCGGTTCATGTGATGAAGCTCGTCAGATGGCGAGACTCGCTTGATGGATGAAGTCTGTCAATTTTGACAAATTTTGTTTGTCGAACGAGGCTCGTCTTTTCTACAAGACTTGTTTGTTTGACAAGATTTGTTTAAATAACGAGACTTTCTCATTCAACAAAGTCTGTCTGTTGGATGGAACTTGTTTGTTTGATGTGGCTCGTTGATCTGACGAAGTTCACTCATTCGATGAAGTTCGTCTAATTGACAAGGTTCATCTGATAACCGAACCTCACACTATTACTTTGACTAGGCTTGCTTTGCGCTAACTTCACCATTTTGTTCCTCATAGTTGTTCATCCGCCTGTTCTTACGAATCTCCCAATCTTTCAGAACCGAAGTCAGGTGGTGCTTCAGCAACTTGTTAGGCTTTCGAATGCAACGCTGAGGAAATATTACAGACCTAATCTTGTTTACTCCTTCAACATGCTGAGCATCCCCAAGCATGTGACCCTTCATCTTGGGCTTCGGAATATGTGGTAGCTTCACAGACCCACTGATATGCTTATCCATTTCCCTTCGCGAGCATCTTCAACTATCTTAGAGATACCCTCTTACTCTATAACTCATCCACGGGTAGTTGAAAGTTGAGAATAGTGAATATTTTTTATCAAAAAATAGGAGATAAAATTTTAACAATAAGCATCGTAGCATTGGCGTAGGGTAGACTTGATACCGCCGTAAGAAATTTGGTGACATTTTATGGCGATAAGTTGCACAAGAAGGCGTTGGAAGAGACTGAAGTGGAGTGTCAAAGGTCACTAAATGAACTTGTGGACGAACTTCGCAATGTTGTTCGATTCATCTAAGTTCAATCTATGTAATTTGACTTGTAACTTAAATCATAATATTTATAAAATTATAGTTTTATCCATTGATTGTTCTCTATGCTCGTGCACATAATAATCACAACTTAGGATTTCTAGCAAACTCTTAGCTATCAGCTGACTTAATATGCCTTTACCAACTGTAGTTTGAGTTGGACTAGCCATACTTTTCTCCTTAGCATGGTGAGTTATTGAGGAGTTTCTTTTAGACTTAATGCTAAGATTTCTCCTCTATCCTTAGCCATTTTAAAGCATCGGATTAAGAATGTGATTACAATGACTAAGTATGATGACTGTGAAAGCAAGGCTTAGCACATGGTAGACCTGCTATCAGGGAGCAACGTCATTTTTAGGAATAACAGTATGGAAATAATCATGTCGTTTAGTGACATGGAAGTATGACGACTGTGATTAGAATAGTGGCACATCACATGGTAGGCCACTTTAAGGGAACAATGTTATTTTCAAGAATGATGATGTGAAAATGATCACGTTGTTCAGTGACATGAGAGTATGATGATTGTGATAGGAATAGTGGCACATCACATAGTAGGCCACTATAAGGGAATAACATTATTTTTAAGAATGACAGTGTGGAAATGATCACGTCGTTCAGTGATATGGGAGTATGATGATTATGATTGGAATAGCAGCACATCACATGGTAGGCCACTATTTTTGATCAGTCTAAGGAGATAGAACTTTCACAAAAGATCAGATAATAGATCATCACATAGTAGATCACTGTCCTAATCGAATGACAAGTAAGGGCTTATCACATGGTAGGACTTTACTTGATAAAGTATTTTTTTATTAAGGTTAATTAGCTGGCAACACCCACAATAGGAGTTAAAGAGTTGACTATTAGAGGTAATCATTAACATGATAGTTTTATGGATCCACCATCCTGTCAAATAAGATTGGTGGAAGACTTTGGAGGGTAGCAAGGAATGAAATTATTACCTTAGTTCGCCTCGTGGGAGTTGAAGGAGAAAATCTCTTTCTGTATTGAAACATCATTTGATCAGAAGCCTATGGGTTGTTCTTCTTCAGAAACTTGTCGTTAATAGGCATTATGATTTTATCATCATCTTGAGTGATCAAGCGATATGCTCTATTTGAGTAGACAATTTCCACTGCCAATGGTCCTTCCTATTTTGATTCGAACTTTCCTTTCTTTTTGGAGTTTAATATCATGGGGCGTCTGACGGTGAGCACCAGGTCACCTTCCTTGAATATGCGGTGTCTGACTTTCTTGTCAAACACTTTGGAAATTCAAGCCTGGTAGAACTCAATATGCTGTTGAGCTTGTAGTCGCTTTTCATCTAGTGCTTCAAGACGTCGACGATGATTTTCTTCCTTTGTCATGCCGGTTGCAAGAGCTATCCGAAGGGATGGAATTTGAACTTCCAATAGCAATACGACTTCACATCCGTATACCAAAGAGTATGGTGTGGCGTCTGCCGGTGTACGAACCGTTGTGCGATATGCCCATTAACTTTAACCTAATTTCTCATTCCAGTCTTGTTTTCTTGTAGAGAATAGTTTGGTGAGAATTTTAATGATGGTCTTATTGAAGGCCTCTGCTTGTCCAATTGTAACAGGGTTATAGGCTGTCGATGCCAAATTTCTGATTTTGAACTTTTTGCAAAATCGTGTGAAGGCATAGCTGGGAAATTAGGGTCCATTGTCATGGATGATGCACCTTAGGACATCGTACCTATATATGATGTGGTCTTGGATGAACCTGATGACATCACTAATTTTGACTAATCTTAACGGGACTGCTTCGGCCCATTTAGAAAAATAGTCAGTTATTGCTAGTATAAAGCGATGTCCTTTTGAGGAGTGTGGGGAAATTGTCCCGATGATATCCATACCCCATATTTTAAATGGCCATGAAGTGGCTAAAGGATGCACATGCTCCGACTGCTAATGCATGTAGTTAGCTTGTATCTGAAAGGCGTGACACTATTTAGCATAAGCGACGATGTCCCTGATCATATTTGGCTGGTAGTAGCCAAGTATGCACAATTGGTCCCACAATTTAGGTCCTGACTGGTGAGATCCATAAATACCATCATGAGCTTCTTTCAAGGCTTCTTCTACTTCTTTACTTGATAAACAATGAAGAAATAATCCATCGTATGACCTTTGGTACAAAGTTTGTGACTAGAAATCATAGGAGAATCTTGGTGCTCGTCTACGGACAGATTCTTTTTCTTTGATGTCTTCGAGCAATAAGCCATAAAAGACATAATCAATGATCAAAAATCATAAATCTCTGATTCAAACACTTTGTGCTCTTCATCGACCGCTTTGACTTGCAATGCATACTTCAATCAGAATAGTTTTTTTCTAGCTACGGTGACTCGTTGAGTTGTTTCCTCGGGTAGAGCTAGTGTAGCTATGAGTGATGAAAAAGTGTCGGCATATATGTTCTTGAGGCTAGGTACATAATCAATGTAAAAACCTTCAAAAGAATTGGCCAATGTGATGGCCTCTTCGTAGTAAGGAATGAGATCTTCGTGCCTGACTTCAAACTCCCCTTTTAGTTGGTTGATGATGAGCCTAGAGTCGCCATATGCTTCTAGATGCTTTACCCCCAGCTACTTGGCTAAGTCAAGACCAAGTAGTAAAGCATTGTACTCGGCCCCATTGTTAGAATATGGATCTGCTAGAGAGAAGACTCGAGGTAATACATGGTTTTGTGGAGAATCCAAGACTACCCCTACTCTAGCAACAATGGTACCTTTAGGGCTTGTTCTTGCTTCACCGTCGAAGAATAGCTACCATACCTATTCTTTTGAGATCACATTGACTTCACAGGTTTCATCTAGAATGTCTTGATATAAATCGACTTTTCCCTCCAATGGGTGGTTGGCCATGAGATCGCAAATGGATTGACCCTTTACTGACTTTTGAGGCTAAAGTAGGTATCATACTGGGATAGAAGTAATGACTATCTTGCGAGTCGCCAACTCAATACACCAGGCTGCTTCATGAATACCCATATTGGATTGACCTTAGATATGACATATATGGTTTGCCCGACTAAATAGTGTCGCATCTTTTGGATCGTGATGGCCAAAACCAAACACTCATTCTTAATAGGAGGATAACGGTGTTCAGCTCTTGATAAGGTTCTGCTAAGATAGTAAATAGCTTGCTCATGGCTGTTATCGTCATCTTGTGCTAGAAGTCCTGCTAAGGTATGCTCTGTTGCTCAAATATATATCAGGAATGGCTTACCCGATTTTGGTGCAACCAATATAGGTCGGCTAGAGAGATATAGCTCAAATATATATCAGGAATGGCTTACCCGATTTTGGTGCAACCAATATAGGTCGGCTAGAGAGATATAATTTAATGTCCTCAAATGCCTTCTGGACCCGATTTTGGTGCAACCAATATAGGTCGGCTAGAGAGATATAATTTAATGTCCTCAAATGCCTTCTGGAAAGCCTTATTCCATACAAAAGATAAGCCTATCTTCATGAGTTTTGGGAACGGTTGACACTTGCTGGACAAGTTGGAAATGAACCTGTGGATGTAACCTAGAAGCCCTTGCAGACCGTGAAGCTCCTTAAGATTTCTAGGAGGTGGAAGCTCTTGAATAGCTTTGACTTTATCCAGATCGTGGTGGATTCCATTAGCTATAACCACAAACCTAAGAAATTTACCACTGGACATTTCCAAGAAGGACTTGGTTGGATTCATCTTCAATTGATATGATTGCATAAGGTCGAACATTCTTTTCAATTCATGTAGGTGATCATTCTTGCTACGGCTTTTGACAACTAAACCATTAACGTAGCGATCCATTGTCTTTTGTAAATTTTCTTAGAAAATAGTAGTCATGGCGTGTTGATATGTGGCACCAGCATTCTTCAATCCAAAGGGCATTACTGTATAACAGTATATCCATGAAAGTGTTCGGAAAGAGGTGTGTCTCTCATCATCAGGATACATCTTGATTTGGTTGTACCCTGAGAATCCATCCATAAAAGACATTCTTTCAAACCCACACGTATTATTAATGATAATGTCCATGATGGGCAAAGGGAAATCATCTTTTGGACATGCTGAGTTCATGTGTCAAAAGTCGATACAAACTCGAATCTTCCTTTTCTTTTTTAGAACTGGAATGATGTTGGCCACCCAATCTAGATGCTGTTGCTCTTTACAGATAAATCTTGAATTGGTGAGCTTTTTAACTTCGGCTTCAATCGCTTCCATGATCTGGCGACGAAATCACCATTCCTGTTGCTTGACAGGCTTAGCATCCGGTTTGATGTTAAGGTAGTGCAAGACCACCTGAGGATTAAGGCCAGACATGTCCTTATAATTCCCAGCAAAGACATCAATATACTTTTGGATTAGAGTGATGAGGTCTTCATTTTCTTCGAACGATAGGCTATCACTTATGAATATGGACTTGGGGTTAGATTCATCCCCCAAGTTCACTTGAATTACCTTATCGTAAGTAGGGGCTCGCGCTATTCAAAGTAGTTTTCCCACTGCCTGTCGAGTTGTCAACTCAATGTATTCTCGAACAGAGGTAGGTGATCATCCTCCCGAGTTTCACTTGGTTGAGCCGTGGTCATGTTAACCATTGAGTTTCTTAAACACGGCTCCTGTACTGATGTCCAAATCCTAGCAAGTCAATTCGGAAGAAGAACTAAGAGAATAGCCATATGAATCTTCACTAGCCTCGAAGCATATTGTTAGCGATAGGGATATATAGCCCTAACCTCCTACGAGTCTTGCCATAGTAATCGTTGGCTTTTCCCTTTGGGACAAAAGGGGTGAGCGAAGTAAACCTCCTACGAGTCTTGCCATAGTAATCGTTGGCTTTTCCCTTTGGGACAAAAGGGGTGAGCGAAGTACGCTGGCCTTTTCCAAAATTGAGGCCTCTTGCATATGAAAAGTCATATCCCTTCCCTCCATGATGCGGCACGTTATTGACCTGAAATATAAAAATTGAGATGTTCTTTCTTCTTGCTTGGATTCATCCCACAGAGTTTGTAGTGGGACCTTTGTTTGCCCAAAGATGATATCCTCTTGGTCATTTCTCCAGGCGGGTACTACAAAGATAGCCTGTGAAGATTTGATGTGTTGTCTACTTGTTGCGAATGATGAATGAATCGACATGTGCAATGTGGACTTAGCATACAATCGCGGCAGAAAGTCTAACGATGTATCGGCCTTTGTACCTGATATATCAGAGATACATTCGACATATGATATTTAAGCAAAATCATCATTATTATTAAAGATAACTTCACCGTTATCATCTGCAACGTCATTTACATCAATACTCACAAAGCTAATCACGACAGGATCAATGTCATTAAAGACAAGCCCTTGTTCATATTCAAGCTCAATATCAGATTCATTACCACTGTTAAGGTCCTCAACTGGTGATACATCGATCGGCTCACCATCTTGTAGGCATCGAAAATTGCCTATAGGTCTCCACGAACGGTTCAGTGTTAAAGAGCGATGATGAACGTCACTATCCGATCCACAGGAGTTCGATTGACGTCGATGAACGATTGAAGTGAATCGATGAACTACGTGAGCTGATAGGATTTCGGGATAACGAAGGCACGGGCTAATCGAGAGCCCCGCGATGTTGCAAAAAGAACAACGTCCTTCATGTCTCGTTCATTCTACAGATAATCCAACCATTGGAGCAGATAGAACTCTTCGTCAAGCTTCCAACGCACTTGGAATCACTCAAATCCGAGTTCGGACGAAGAATTTACAGCGGAAGCGGACGAATGCACCTCAACGGAATGTCTCAGAAATTCCAAAACACCCCCAGGGGTGTCTCAGAAATTCCGAGACACCCTAGGGGTGTCTCGGATTTTCTGAGACACCCCAAGGGTGTCTAGGCTTTTCCTAGACACCCCAGGGGTGTCTAGGCGCCCTGGGTGCCCTCATTGCCTATAAATAGCAACCTTAGGCCTCATTTTTGGGAGATCTGGATTTTTGGAGAGTTGGCGAAGCCCTGTTACAGTGAAGAGTGGTCGAGCACTTCAACAGAGGAGAGGTCTTCATCAGATTCTTCATCACCCGTGTCCATTCCTTAGTATTACCCTTCGCCGGTAATCCTAAGAAGAGCAAATATCTCGTTTTAGCCGAGATAGGCGCTTCAAGCTTCTATATCTCCTCGCGGATCGACGAAGCTCTGTCCGATTTTTCTGGAACAGATCTGAGTGCCAGGTAGTCCACGGGATCGACGAAGCTCTGTCCGATTTTTCTGGAACAGATCTGAGTGCCAGGTAGTCCACGGATATCGATGTCCCCATCACAGGCCAAAGACCCACGCAAGCAAGAGACGATAAACGGATCTTGCATTTATTTTCAAGAAAGTTGTAATTTTTATTTTTGTTATTTGAATTCATTTGTAAACGATTAAAGTTCTAATGAAATCAATGATGAAGGCAACTTTCGACGAAAACAAACTGGCGACCACAGTGGGAGCCAACGGCCTCGCTGCCGAGGCCGTCGTGACGCAACCGGCATTCAAGATATGGGTGAATGAAGAGATCGAATACGAGTTTGATCGACAAAAGTTTGAAGAGTACCTCTCTTCCTCCTCCTCCAGATCCGCCTCTCCGAACAGGCACAGGAAGGCATCCTCTTCCAGAAATGTTCGCGGGACCTTCGGCTCGAAGATCCAAGATCCCATTGCCGCCGCTGCGCCCGCACCACCGTCCCTGCGTCGTCCAACGTGGTCGAGACCGCAGATCCGGACTTCTCCTCCGCCGAGGAGATGGCTACTGAAGACGCTCCAGCATTGTCAAAGAGAGCACGCCAAAGACGGCGTCAACGCCTTGCTCGTCAGCTGGCCAAGGCTTTGGAGCCGATGGACGGGATCCGCTATAATGTGGATCTAAAATCCAGGCAGCGCCGGGAACAACAACGGCGAACAACCAACTCCTCCTCCAAGACAGAAACGAACGAATGGGTTTGTGTCAAGAGGACCCGCTCCACCCTCGAGGAACGAATCAAGAAGCGTCGAGCATTGCTCGCACATGCCCGAGCCCTTTTGCAGAAAGCAAAAGAAATGCAGAGGGGAGAAACAGTGGAGAAGCCGCCTAAGCGCAAACAAGTTTGGGTGCCAAAAGCCAAATCAGCGCCTAAGGCAAAAGCAGGCGACGTTGTTCTCCGGCCTTCGTCAACTTCAGATCCCGAACCTCCGTTAAGGCCATACCGCAGCGTGGATTTCCCCAAGTTTAGGATTCCTCTGAAGGATCGTATCGGTGCTCTACCCGAGAATCGAGGAAAAGCACTTGTTAAGGAAAGCTGGAGATCGTTGAAGGAGCTTCGAGCCAACATCCGGACTGGGGGTCGTACGCGACCTCCTAACAAATCGATTTCTGCAACAGCCCGCTTGGCGGTGCGTGCAGAAAGTCAGGAGCCCGTTAAAGTTTCACCCTCACAAAGGTGTGATTCCAAACGTGTGACTCCCGTAGATGCCAACAAAGCGATGTTTACTCAGAAGAAAACACGTCAGACAGACGAACGCGTTATACCTGAGAATCCATGTGAGCAACCGATAGGTTACTCCGACCGCAACGTCGATGAGTTGTACTATCAGGTTGGGGGTATGAATAAATCTCAAAAAAGAAGTACCTGGGAAACGGACTCTCATTGTCCGTATATCAAAATTATCAGGGCAGTATTATCAACGTGTAGCTACCCCAAGACCGCTCCGCAGAGGGTCTGGATATTCAAGAGAATCTCCGATGGAACGACGAAGCTCAAATCAAGGCGTTTCCACCAAAGAGGATCGGTTGCTCGAGATGATGAATTCCCAGAAGTTACCATCAACATGGTCAACAAGGGAAAATCTCCAATTGTTTCAAGGGGTTCCAACCCTAATTTCCCTCCAGGAAGCAGAGTCAATTCGGGAATAGCTCAGCTTCAGCTAGAAGCCGTCGGATATAACGATTACCATGGAATCCATGAAGGAATCCATTCCGATGATAAATTCTTAGATTCTTATTCCGCACTCGCCTACGACGATACAACGTCTAGCATAGGGCAAGCTCGAGAAGTGTTCATGGTCAACACTGAGCAAATAGCCAAAATCATTGAGGATGCTCTAGCCAAGCAGAAAGAAGCATTCAAAATCGAAATGGAAATGGCTATGCAGGAGATGAGACAAATGTACGACCAACAAATCCGAGCTTTGTCAAATTAGCTAGTTGAATCCAGCCGTCGCACCTAGAACGCCGTAGTTGACAGCGATCCGGAAGTGGACGAAATCATCATGGCTGACGCACCGCCCAAAAATATTGGGGGTGGCCCCACTAAAAATAACGACGCTGGGAGTGGACCCACCAATGATGATAACACTGGGGGTGGCCATATTATTCCTCTCGAAAATTATCCAAAACAGGATATAGATGAGGCCGAAAAGATGAAGGATCTCGAAAGAAAAATTGACGCCCTGATGTCTGCTCGAGAGGTGAAGAAGACCGGCATTCCGTGTCCTTACCCGAAAGAGTGGGATTCGATCCCGTATCCGGCGAAATTCAACCTGATCAACTTCACGCCATTCGACCGGAAGGGTTCCCCCACTCAGCATCTGATTTATTTCAAGTCCCACTCGGGGGTGATCTCTGGCAACGAGCCTTTGATGGTTCGGTCATTCGTTGGCACCCTTCGCGGGCCCGCCTTCGATTGGTACCGCCGCCTCAAGCCCAGAAGCATCAACAGCTGGGAGGACCTGGAAAGCATGTTCCTCACTCAGTTCTTCAATGAGGACGCCGAAGTGTCGATCAGGACACTCTTCGATGAGAAACAAA